CCAACCATAGAGATTGTAACTGAATTACTAAAAAAAAAAATCGGTAATTTTACCATGACAATGAGATAAATCACATCGGGTGACCTTCCCTTGGTCCATCCAGGTAACCAACACATTACTCAATGTTATCCATTGATATGCAAGCAATAATGTGCACTGTAGATAGAAGAACAATTACCTAAAGCAATCTCACATTACACACCGTTACTATGTATGACAAGTGCTACCAGCACACCAAGTGACACTTATCACTCGAATATCCCTTTTTCGTTGCTCTGTAAAATCTAGGATGAGAAAAGTGGTACAACCGCTGTGCGTAATAAACACTCTCAACTTTCTCAAAAGCCACACACTAAGGTCCGCTTCTGGAGTTTACCAGCGTTTTACAGGTGTTTCTTAAGTGTCAGTGCGTGTCAGCAGTCAATAAATTGGCTGTCACATAAAGTTAAACACTACAATCCAGTTTTGAACAAATAGACCTAAAACAATTACACAATGTAATAACTAGAAGAATAAAATGATTGCAAATAGATACTATTACAATTCAACCTCGGCGCTAGACCCACTAGATGATATGGCAAGGAACAAGATGTTAACCAGGCAGACACTTGCTAACACAGTTGAAAGGTAACCGAATTACTCAAGTAAGACCGTATTCATAAACTGGAACATTATGCAGCAGTAAGCTTGTCACTAGTAAAACATAAAAAAGCATAAGTTACAACACTCACGACCACAATGAACACTGAGCAATTTAAATATTACCGGCCGAAGTACTATTTTTTGTATTTTTGGACCATGTGTATCTATAGTTAATAACCTAGTTTCCTCAATTCGAGAGTCACTATCACCTACCGTGCACTGTCTTGCATTTTCTGAGTTCCATTTTTCTAGATCTCTAGAGACACTAGACCTTTCAAAACAGCACCAGAGGCGACAACTCACTGACTTCTCCAAACCAAAGCAGCCCAGTGGTGACAACTCCACGATCTTCCAAAAGCAAGCACCAGGGCGACAACTCCACTGACTTTCAAATCAGCACCAGTTAGGCGACAACTCCACTGACTTCCAAAGGAAACACAGGCACCCGGTCGACAACTCCACTGACTTTCAATCAGGCACCAGAGGCCGACAACTCCACTGACTTTCAAAGCAGACACTAGGGGGGCGGACAACTCCACTGACTCCACAGCAAGCACCATTGGTACAACACCACTGACTTTATCCAAAGCAGCACCCCGTGGCGACAACTCCACTGACTATTCAAAGCAGCACCAGCGTGCGACAACCTCCATTTGACTTTCAAGCAGCACTAGAGGGCGACAACTCCACTGACTTCCAAAGCAGACCGTGGTGACAAAATCCACTGACTTCCAAAGCCAGCACCAGTGCGACAACTCCCCTGATTCAAAAGCAGCAACAAGGCGACAACTCCACCATGACTACTCTCAAAAAGCACACCAGGTGCGGACAACGCCACTGACTCCAATAGCACACCCATGGTGACAACTACCACTTGACTTCCAAAGCAGCACCATGGTGACAACTCCCTAACTTCCAAAGCAGCACCAGAGACGACAACTCCACTGGACTTCAAACAGCACCAGTGGTGACAACTCCACGACTTCCCAAAGCCGCACCAGGGGCGACTACACCACTGACTCTTTCAAAGCACACCAGGGGGACAACTCCAGCTGACTTTTCCAAAGCAGGCATCCAGTGGTGACAACTCTCACTGACTGTTCCAAAGTCCGCCAACCAAGAACTACAACCTCAACTGACTCCAAAGCAGCGGCCAGGGCGACAAACTCCAATGACTTTCCAAAGCAGCACCAGTGGTGACAACTCCACTGAGCTTCCAAAGCATCCCATAGGGCGACAACTCCACTGACACTTTCAAAGCAAGCACCAGTGGCGAACAACTTCCACTGACTTCAAAGCCGCACCAGGAGCGACAACTCACTGACTTCCAAAGCAGCACCAGGGGCGACCCGTCCACTGAACTTCCAAAGCCCGCACCATTGTCGACAAACTCGTCACTGGCTTCCATAGCAGCACCAGTGTGTGAACAACTCCACTGACTTCCAAAGCAGCACCAGGGCGACAACATCCACTGACTTTCAAAGCCAGCACCGGGAGCGCAACTCCACTGACTTCCAAACCAGCAACAGTGGTGACCACTCCACTGACTTCCAAAGTAGCACCAAGGGCGACAACTCCACTAGACTTCAAAAGCAGTCACCAGGAGCGACAACTCCACTGCGACTTTCAAAGCAGCACATGGGCGACACTCCACGACTTCCACAGTATACCAGGGGCTACAGCTCCACCAGACCATTACTTCACTTTCCCACTGTTATATAAAATTGTGAATCTTCTCCAAGAAGAATTTTTCTCTCAAAGCGTTATTTCATTTTTAGTATGTAAGAAATTTGCTCCCCTGTTTTCCGTCTTTCGTGAGACCCAAAAAATTTCTCTTCGTTAGAAATATGTTGCACCTGGGAACATGGCTCCCTCCAGCAGAATCTACTGCATTGTACCCAAACTAGTACTTCTCCTGGAAGTATTGTTTACAAGTTAGACTGTTGTTCTCATCATGATTATATTTTCATTTCTGGTGTTAGGGACACAATTATTTATAGTTGATGATTTTAGTTTCAATACAACGAGCAATCATCCAGGTAAAAACAACTTCCAATCTCGTGACCTAATAAATCTGGAACGCAGTCTGCTTGTTATGTGTAATCTCGCTACGCTGTTTACACAGCCCAGTACAAAAACAACACCTGCACTGATCTAAACGCTACTTCCCCCAACACAACTTCTCACTGCTACGCTACTTCCACCAACACTAACTTCTCACTGCTACGCTACTCTCCCAACACTACTGCTTACTGCTAATAAGCTAACTCCCCCAACACTACTGCTTACTGCTAAGCTACTTCCACCAACACTACTGCATTACCTGCTAACGCTACTCCCCCAACACTACTGCTTACTGACTACGCTACTCCCCCAACACACTGCTTCTCCTGCGCTATTCACGCTACTCCCCCAACACTACTTCTCACTGCTACGACTACTGTCCCCAACACTAACTTTCTCACTAGCGTACGCTAACTCTCCCCCAACAACTACTTCTCACTGCTACGCTACTTCCTCAACACAAATCTCAACTTCTACGCTACTGTCCCTCCCACAAACACTACTTCTGTCACTGAGCTACACCTACTTCCCCCCTACACTACTTCTCAACTGCTACGCTACTCCCCCAACACTGACTTCTCACTGCTACGCTACTCCCCCAACACTACTTCTCACTGCTACGCTACTCCCTCCAACCAACTAACTTATGTCACGGACTACGCTACTGTCCCAACACAACTTCTCACTGCTACGAACTACTTCCCCAACACAACTTCCTCACTGTTACGCCTTTCTTCCCCAACACAACTTCTCCACTGCTACGCTACTTCCCCAACCACTACTTGTCACGGCTACCCTACTTCCACCAAACCACAACTTCTCGCCTGCTAAACGCTTACTTCCCAACACTACTTGTCATCTGCAACGCTACTTCCCCAACTACAACTTCCTCATGCTACACTATGTTACTTCCTCCAACACTACTTGTCACTGTTACACTACTTCCCAACAACTACTTCTCACTGCTACGTCTACTTCCCCAACACAACTTCTCTCACTGCTACGCTACTTTCCCCAACACAAAAACTACTCTCTCACTGCTCGCTACTTCCCCAACACAACTTCTCACTGGCAACGCTACATCCCCAAAAACTCCCAAGCACCCCTTTTATTTATTAAAAAAACGCTCCTGCTACACTACATCCCCGAACACAACTTTCCACTGCTTACGCTACTCCCCCAACACTATCTGCTTACTGCTTACGCTACTCCCCAACACTACTGCTTACTGCTACGCTTCCTCCACCCAACACTACTTCTCCACTGCTACGCTACTTCCCCAACACAACCTCTCGCTGCTACGCTACTCCCCAACACTACTTGGTGCACTGCTACACTACTTCCCAACACTACTTTTATCTCATTGCTACGCTAACTCCCCCAACACTACTTCTATCTCACTGCTACGGCTACTCCCCCAACACTACTTCTCACTGCTACGCTAACTCCCCCATACACTACCTTCCACTGCTATACGCTACTTCCCCAACACAACTTCACACTGCTACGCTACTTCCCCCAACAAAACTTCACACTGCTAAACGCTACTCTCCCCCAACCTACGCTTCACTGCTTACGCTACATCACCAACACAACTTTCTCACGCTACGCTACTTCCCCAACACAACCTTCTCACTGTTACGCATCTTCCCCAACACAACTTCTCACTGCTACGACCTAGCTTCCCCAACACTACTTGTCACTGCTACACTACTTCCCCAACACAACTTCTCGACGCTAACGCTACTTCCCCAACACTACTTGTCACGGCCTACACACTATTTTCCCCCAAGCACAATTTTACTCACTGCTACACTACTTCCCCCAACACTACTTGTCACCTGCGCTCCACACTTCCCCAACACTACTTCTCACTGCACGTCTACCTCACCCAACACAACTTTCTCTCACTGCTACGCTACTCCCCAACACACTTCTCTCTGCTTACGCTACTTCCCCCAAGCCCAAACACAACTTCTCACGTGATATGCTACTTCCCCAACACAACTTCTCACTGCAACGCTACTTCCCCAACACTACTGCTCACGAGCTACACTCTACATCCCCAACACTAACTTCTTCACTCTACTCTTCTTCCCCACACAACTCTCACTGCTACCTACTTTTTCCCAACACACACTTCTCACTGCTACGCTACTTCCCTCAACACTACTTGTCACTGCTACACTACTCCCCAACACAACATATCACTTCGCTCATTACGCTACTTCCCCCAACACTTAACTTCCCCAACAACACTTCTCGCTGCTTACGCTACGTCCCCAACACTACTGTCACTGTTTCACTACTTCCCCAACACAACATCTCACTGCTACGACTACATCCCCAACACTACTTGTCACTGCTACACTACTTCCCCAACCACTAATCTTCTCCGCTGCTACGCTACTTCCACAACACTACTTGTCACTGTACACTTCTTCCCCAACACCACTTCTCACTGCTACGCTACTTACCCAACACTACTTTCACTGCTACACAACTTCCCAAAGGGAGAATTAAGGACAACTACAACTTCTCACTGCTACGCTACTTTCCATAACACTACTCCATTGCTAAAAAACCTACTTCCCAAACACTACCACTGCTAACGCTACTCCCTAACACTAACTTGTCACTGTACACTACTCCCCCAACACTACTTCTTCCTGCTACGACTACTTCCCTAACACTACTTCTCACTGCTACTCCTACTTCCCACAACACAACCTTCTCAGATGCTAGACGTTACTACTTTCTCCCAACACTACTTGTCACTGCGTACATTACTTCCTACTTCCTCCCCAACACAGCATCTCGCTGCTACCTACTTTTCCCCAACACTACTTGTCACTTGCTATACTACTGTCCCCAACACAACTTCTCACTGCTACGCCTACTTCCCCAACACTACTTGTCCACTGTTACACTACTTCCCCAACACAACTTCTCACTCTACGCTACTTCCCCCAACAACTACTTGTCACTGTACTACACTACTTTCCCCAACACACTTCTCACTGCTAGCTACTCCCCCAACACTACTTCTCACGTGCTACGCGTACTGCCCCCAACCTACTTTCTCACTGCTCCGCTTACTCCCCCAACACTACTTCTCACTGCTACGCTAATTCCCCAACACCAACTGCTCACTGCTAACGCTATCTTCCCCAACAAAAACTTCTCCAGCTACGCTACTCCCCCAAACACTACTGCTCACTGCTACGCTACTTCCCCAACACAACCCTTTCTCACTCTCGCTATTTCACTTCCCCAACCAACTTCTCACTGTTACGCTTCTTCCCCAACACAACTTCTCACTGCTAAGCATCACGTACTTCCCACACACTACATTGTCACTGCTACACTACTTCCCCAAACAACCACTTCTCGCTGCTACGCTAACTTCCCCAACACTACTTGTCACTGCTACACTACTTCCCAACACAACTTCTCATCTGCTCACTAACTTCCCCAAACACTACTTGTCACTGCACAACTACTCCCCAACACTACTTCTCACTGCTACGCTAACCCTCCCCAACACAACTCTCACTGCTACGACTACTTCCCCAACACACCTTTCTCACTGCTACGCTACTTCCCCAAACACAAACTTCTTCACTGATCCGCTACTACTTTCCCAACACAACTTCTCACTGCAACGCTACTTCCACAACACTACTGCTGCCCTGCTACACCACATCCCCACACAACTTCTCACTGCTACGCTACTTCCCCCACCACAACTTCTCACCTGACGCTTACTTCCCCAACACACTTCTCACTGCTACTGCTACTTCCTCATCCCCAACACTACTTGTCAACTGCTACACTACACTTCCCCCAACACAACTTCTCGCTGCTACGCTACTTCCCCAACACTACTTCCCCAACACAACCTCTCGCCTGCTACGCTACTTCCCCAACACTACTTGTCACTGTTACACTACTTCCCCAACTACAACTTCTCACTGCTACGCTACTCCCAAACTACTTGTCACTGCCACACTACTTCCCAACACAACTTCTCGCTGCTTACGCTACTTCCGCAACACTACTTGTCACTGTTACACTACCTTTGTCGCACAACATACAACTTCTCAACTGCTACGCTACTTCCACCAACACTACTTTTCACTGCTACAACCTACTTCCCCAACACAACTTCTCACTGCTACGCTACTTCCATAACACTACTTCTCATTGCTACGGCTACTTCCCAAACACTACTTCACTGTCTACGCTACTTCCTAACGCACTTACTTGTCACTGATACACTACTTCCCAACACTACATCTCACTGCTACGAACGCTACATTCCCTAACACTACATCTCACTGC